TTCAGATATACACTGCTAAAATGCTTTCCAAATGATTTTGTATTTTGCTTATGAACTGTACATAATTTCTTTCATGTTTTCTGTTGGAGCTACATAGTTATTAATAACATAGTTGTAAATAAACAAACACTTTTGTAAATACGATTACAGCCTTTTTTGTACATTGTGGATATTGTTTACTGACGATGTATTAAGTATTTTTGAATATTTTGGCTTGAATATATACAACTTTTGCAAGAATATATTGGAATATATTTGTAGGATGAGAAATTGCTTGATTAGATTTGTTGACAAAGATGTCCAATGTTTATTATTATATTGGTGTGCAAATTGTTATGCTTTGATCAAAGCTTTGATGTAAATGTTCTGATATTTTAAGAAGTATGTTTGGTATTTTGAAAGATTTCAAGACAGATGACATTAAATGCTTAAATTCATGAGATAGTTTCTGATTAGAAAATAGTTCTTTTCATGACATATGTACATCTTCAAGAGGCACAGCGCACATATATGGTATGCTTTTAATATCTTTGCTAGAAAGAATGCCGAACCTTAAAATATTTATCGTTCACATGTTTTAAATGTATTCATATAGTAATAACAAACCCATGTCACAGATATATATATGTTTAATGACACAGCCATTTGGATCTGTCTCAATGCAATGTTTAGGGGTTGTGTTGAAAGCATTTTGCAAATCGAGTTACAAAAGAAGTGATCAGCAGTTTACAATCAAAGGTTGGACAAGAAAGGTTGTTTTGTGCTTTGGATACAACCCCTGCTGCAACCTCTGACCTCTTCTCGTATTATGTTGAACATGAATGAAACCTAATACTGGCTTCACTGCCAATACAATTAAGGTCGTGTTTTGAATGTGTAAGTGATGGGGACCTGATTTTAATATGGAAGATGATGGCTTTAAAATGTGTCAGCTTAATAGCCTAGTCTTGAGGGTCAAGGATTGATTTTTAGAAATATTGCAGAAACTGAAATTATAGAAGTTAAAAACTTGCAGATGATTTTAAGGGCTATGGTCTATCCCAGCCCCCCATGATCACATTTCAGCCATCTTGTTTTTTCAGATCCAACCCAAAGGGTCAAACCAAACTTCACAATTAAGTCTAATAGGTGCTGAAATCATTTTTGATTTGACAAGTTATTACCTATTTAAGTAGGATTGTTTACATATGGAATATTTGGTACATTTTTACCCAACTTTGCAATCAACTATTCTGGAACCCTTATTGGTTTTACTGTTTAACTACAAAGATGTAACAAAGAGTTAAAATAATAGTGACTTATGTATGTACCAATTTTGTTGTTGCATTAAACCAAATTTCACCATGTATTGAAACCTAATTTTGTTTATTAATAATTAGGGGCGGTTGGGTAGCCTAGTGGTTAAAGCGTTCGCTTGTCACGCCGAAGACCAGGGTTCGATTCCCAACATGGGTACAATGTGTGAAGCCCATTTCTGGTGTCCCCCGCCATGATATTGCTAAAAGCGGCGTAAAACCAAAACTCACTCACTCAATTATTAATAATTATGATCCAATATGGATTCTTGTTTGTATTTGTAGTGATCAAAAACTAGATGAAGGACTAACGCATCTCCCAATGTTACAATGTCTTGAAAATGATGTTGTGTATATGTGGCAGTTATGAAACTTTGCCAGCCTAACATGGCAAGCCCAAAGTGATGTAATTCATTAATGTTAAGGGGTGGTCGGGTAGCTTAGTGGTTAAAGCGTTCTCTTGTCACGCAGAAGACCCGGGTTCGATTCCCAACATGGTACAATGTGTGAAGCTCATTTCGGGTGTCCCCTGCAGTGATATTGCTAAAAGTGGTGTAAAACCATACTCACGCATTAATGTTAAAACTCTATGGTTGAACCCACATGGGGTGGACAGATCAAGGATCATAATCAGGCCAAGGGTAACGATTACTGGATCCTGACATGGCTAAGGGATACAATTATTGAGGACTTAATGACAATTGATAACTCTATATGTTAATCAGGAATAGGGACAGTTTAGAAAACTTGGGTTAGAATTGAGTTATGAACTTGAATATGTCATTGGAATACGATTTGTGTGTGAAGGAATTGATTGAGAAGGTATTAAATATTTTACTTGTGTATGAACTGTTCTATTCTTGTATAGGAAAGTATGTAATAATTAATGAGAAATAAATAATATATGGGGCTATCTGTGACAAATAGAAGTTTCATGTGCAGATATGTGATCTTGAATGAACAGGATAGGATGTCACGATATTCCCCCCAATATTTCATCTGAAAACGAAGGACTTTATATGTTTGTGGAATAAGAGTAAAACTATTTCATTGTTTTTAGAAACACTTGAAACTGATGTGCTTCACAAACTATTACTGGCCTACAGTGTAAGTTTATTTTGGTAATAGATATCCTTGTGCAGTCATTTGCATTTATTAAACACTTTTTCTCAGAATACATTTACTTAGGTATACTTTCAGTTAAGTGAATGTTTGACAAATGTATGCAGAGGATGTAACAAGAACCATTATACAAAGCCATCGATAGGCTTGGTAACGTGCAATTTTCATATTGGATTCCTTGTCCACATATTTATCAATATGTATTTTCTCACTCGGCCCTGATTACGGTGTATGTATACCACCCCTTGGAAATAAAATTGTCCTTTGAACCCCACAACTTTGAGATATGACTTGAACATGATATTACATGTTAAAGAGAAAATTACAATTATAATTAATTGTAAATTGTTGTGATTCATTATTCATGTTGAATCGAGTTAAACGTTTCTAACCAACGTAAATCCCTCATTCATAAGCTCCCACATTTTCTGATTCATGTAGGCACATACAGGATGTTCATTACTGTATCTAGTCAACCCCATGGCTAATTATGTACACCATCAACTAAATGTGTGGGCTAAATGTGACACTGACCAGCTTTAGTATCTCAACCACTGACAGGCTTGCAGATGTTATGGTCGTCCAATCATGAGGAAAAATACATTAACTATTGAACTCCTGGGTGCATGTGCAAATCACCCTACAGTAATACAGGACATTTTCAGGGATTAACAGAAATATCACTGACATTTAAACTAGTATTGGTTTTGAGACCATCCTCAGCGGTGAAACATCCCGACATGACAGCATTTACTGTAACAAAAAGTCAAAAGAAATTAAATCATATCTGTATTTCACAAAAATTAGAAAGAGGCTGCTTTTCATCGACTAAAATATTTTATTTATTACTGTGTAATGTGTTTTATTGCTGTAACTATTGAGATATAAAGAAAACCCTTCTGCACTGCTTCACTCCTTCAGCTACGCCTACCTGGAAACTGAATTTTCCTGCTGAATGTTTATACAGTAAGATTTATGCTCAGATAGTGAGCAAACCAAATGGGTCTCATGAGATCATAGTTTTTTTCTGAAAAGTTATGACAGTGTATGATAGCGAAGAGGGTATTTAGTTGAAGGATGACTAAGAGAGACGGAGACAGCTAAAAACTCCATCCCAGCATCAGCAAGTCTGTCCGTGTCCTCCTCTATGCACGTCTGAGTAGTCTGGCTCTCATGTATTCCTACTGTGGTCTGTCTGTGTGACCTAGGTATGTGCGCTCAGTAGACTGTTGTTTGTACACTTTGCCAGTCTGATGTGCCAATAAAACCCCACACTGGTGGACACTGTTTCACAATTTCCTTGTTTGTTTTCTTTATGACGGTTTGTTGTTTTACTGCACACTCAGCAATATTCATCGTCAAGATGGCAGTGTGTAAATAATATAGTCAATCTAGTGATTGACATCATAAGCATCAATCTACACAATTATTATATGACATAATCAACCAAGTGACTTAATCTCTTTGTTCCTCCTCGTCTTTCAAGCACTGTAACATCATCTCAGTAAACACTCGGGGGGCACGAGGGGCCCAGTCGTCTAAGGTGCAGCGATTCGCTGTGCAGAGTTGCATCCCTTGGGCACGCCAGAAACTAATGATTGTGGGTCTGAATCCCAGTTCGCCCCGATTATTGTATTCTCAATACTTAATTGATATCATGGTGGGCACACCAAGAATTCGCTTCATACAAAGTACCCATACGGAGAGTTTAACCTCGGTGTTTGGTGTGATAAGCCAACACAAAGCCACTATGCTACCCCAGCTCCACTTACCTTTCTAGTTGGTACTGGGACATCTTCCTGAATCAAGGGAGTTAACTCACTATAAAAGTCCAGTTTCCACCCTTGCCGAACTAGGCTGGTATTATTGAGTTACATTTTGGCTGGACTAACGAGTCTATGCATAGTCCAATCAAAATCGCACACCGAAAACAAAATCTGTTTCGTAAACTGTCATGCAAATTTTGGTCAATTGCATGATTTGCAAAGCATGTGCACCGCCAACTCATTGTCAAAAGATATTTTCCAAGTCTTTCCACATTTTTAATCAAGGTGCTCATGTGATTTGATGCACTTCGCGAGGTAAGACCAGTTTTATCACAATATAGATCTTGATTATCGATCAGATCGTCTTGACTGAGCGCCGCCATTTTGTTTGAAACAAATGCAAGTTATATGAGAGATGGAATCTGATTGGTCCATAGGAGAGGCTTATAAGGGACATTACTCGTAATAACCACTGGTGGCGCTACGATTGAGCCCAGGAATTCCAGCCTAGTTCAGCAAGGTCGACTTTTACAGTCAGTTAACTCCCTTGCCTCAGGAAGATGGTACTGGGAGTGAGGGAATGTTGTATTAAGCTGCAATATTGCAGCTATGTCATGACCCCTGCAAATAATCAAGCGCGGTACAAACCGGTGGTTGACAGCATGAGCACAAGCAGCCCTATCTATCTCGACACACCATCAGTCAGGTTGCACACTATAACAAACCAATACTCGTTTTTACAAGTTATTAGGACAAGCTTGGCCGAGTGGGAAATATGCCCTGTAATCCCCACTTAGTAAGTACGAAACAGAGTAGAGAAAATAATTGAATGTATATGTATATATCAACTGCATTAAATCATGACATGAGCGATGAAACAGCTTTAACTTTAAATAACAATTGTTCAACCTAAAACAAGTTAAAGATGGAGGGCGACCGGTCTTCTCCTCCACCACTGCCGAAGGAAAAGGCAAAATCAGACTTGTTCGATGTAGGAGTGCTGTCACCCACAAAGTTGAAACTGAAGTTTTGTGGTGACTTGGCGCCCCCAGTTGGGGACTCAAACATGGATAGGAAGGAACTTGAGCGGTCACTTTGTTCCGATCTACCGCTAAAAATAAAACTTGTTTCTGCTGTGTCAGGGTGCTCTGAAACAAATGATGTTGGGCATAACTGAAGTTGCAATCTTTGTTAAAAGCTTGAATTTGTCAGATTCCTTTATTCAGATTTTGGTAAGGATAACTATGTTGAAAGAAACTAAAGAGAGAGTGAGAGAGAGAGAGAGAGAGAGAGAGAGAGAGAGAGAGAGAGAGAGTGAGTGAGTGAGTGAGTGAGTGAGTGAGTGAGTGAGTGAGTGAGTGAGTGAGTGAGTGTGAGTGAGTGAGTGAGTAGGGTTTAATGCCGCTTTTAACAGTATTCCAGTCATATTACGGCGTGTCAGCTTGATGTGGGAGGAAAGCCCGAAGTGATGCAGGTCGCAGACATCTACCACTTCGGTGAAACCCACGAGCATGGGTATGGTGCTGACAAACCTAGAAACATAATTGGGATTCGAACCCACAATCATAGGTTTCTGGCATGCCCAAGGGACGCAACTCTGCACAGAATTGTGTCACCTTAGACAACTGGGCCACCTGTGCCCTCGAATAATGGCAGAAGATGTAGACTGATATTGTTGGGGGTTTTCTTCTAAATTTTATGAAAAACTGATTTGCTTCAGGTTATTTTTTAGGTCTTCAGCTAATTGGATAAATTTGCAGAATTTTATCTTTTTTAAACAAATTAGAGAAAATCTTCAAATCACATTGACACCATGATATTCCATGGATATAGGAACAATAAAAGACAAACCGTAAAAGATGATTGATACTTAGATGTGAGGATTTATATTGATATGACTAGAAACATCCAGTTTTCAAGAGATTATTGAAACTTCCCCTCACCTGACTTGTCCTGCCCCCCAAACAGGTTCACCATGCCCCCTGATAGTGGAGTATCGGGAGTAGGACTAAACATGCTGGACACAGGCTGGTCCATCTCACATCTGCCCTCACTTGATGGCTGAAACACACATGATATCCTACATCTTCCTGAGGCAAGTGAGTTAACTGACTATAAAAGTCCAGTTTCCACCCTTGCCGAACTAGGCTGGTATTATGGAGTTACATTTTGGCTGGACTAACGAGTCTATGCATAGTCCAATCAAAATCGCGCATAGAAGAAGAATCGTGCGAGTTGCATAGAAAGGACATAACTCGTAATAGCCACCGGTGGCGCTACGATCGAGCCCAGGAACTCCAGCCTAGTTCGGCAAGGGTGGAAACTGGACTTTTAAAGTCAGTTAACTCTCTTGCCTCGGGAAGATGGATATCCTACTGCATTAAGGAGAACCAAATTTGTTCACAATCACACTAACATATTAAGTTTTGAGGCCAACCTGGTCCCATCATCCACAGTTATTAATTCTACCAAGACATTTTAGAAGCCTGCATCTGATTAGTCCGCCAGAGATATCAAAACTGCATTAGGCTGATGACCACATTACTGCGAAAGAAAATATCTATTCAGAAGCACTTCTTTTGAAAACTGCCCATTTGACAATTTCAAACACTGATATTACTTTAACATTGTTAAATATCGGTAATGTGTTGCGGTTCCTAAATTATTTACATCAATATATTTCAGTCGGAAAACTTGACAAACAAATACTTCGAGAGTCACCAAGTGTATTGTAAAATGTTTTAGTAACATCAACACAGTTCAACTTTTGGGGTCACTCTACTACATACCTTGACGTCATGTCTACCACGTCATAATGCTTAGTCTTCCCATCACTAGAACATTAAGATGTCCTATATCACTAGGGTGTGTCATGTCTACCACGTCACAATGCCTAGTTTTCCCATCACTAGAACATTAAGATGTCCTATATCACTAGGGTGTGTCATGTCTACCACGCCATAATGCTTAGTCTTCCCATCAATAGAACATTAAGATGTCCTATATCACTAGGGTGTGTTATGTCTACCACGTCACAATGCTTAGTCTTCCCATCACTAGAACTATCATGGTGTAACATTTATACTAAGTTATCCTATAATAATTAGATCCACATCAAGTGCTTTTATGAGTTACCATGGTGTAATATTTATATATGCATTTTACCTGATGATAAGTATTACTTGCGAAACTATTATATGAAATGATGTATAAATATTACACCATGGTAACTCATAAAAGCACTTGATGTGGATCTAATTATTATAGGATAACTTAGTATAAATGTTACACCATGATAACTATTACCTTAGGCTAGCATCTGTCTAAAAAGCTATAACTGAAACTACTGATATTTTATATATGCATTTTACCTGATGATAAGTATTACTTGCGAAACTATTATATGAAATGATGTATAAATATTACACCATGGTAACTCATAAAAGCACTTGATGTGGATCTAATTATTATAGGATAACTTAGTATAAATGTTACACCATGATAGAACATTAAGATGTCCTATATCACTAGGGTGTGTTATGTCCATTATTTCCGCAGGTTGCTATTCGTAAGCATGACCATTCGATTTCACTGAGAGCGGAGCAATCCTCAGTTCACGGTTTCGCGTCAGCTTTGTGGTCCATGTAGTGTAATTCAGTGAGCCCTGATGTAAGCCAGGTAGTGCTCTGTTCTGTGGGTGATAGGGGCGGTCGGGTAGCCTAGTGGTTAAAGGGTTCGCTCTTCATGCTGAAGACCCGGGTTCGATTCCCAACAATGTGTGAAGCCCATTTCTGGGGTCCCCCCGCCATTATATTGCTGGAATATTGCTATAAGCGGCATAAAACCATACTCACTCACTCTGTGGGTGATAAACTATAACAGTGGTGTGTACTTGGGAAGGAAACATTACAAAAGCAGGGTTAGAAACTAACAGTTTTCGACCACTAGTCCTTATAATGATAACATATTGCAAAACCCTAAAAAAGGAAAAATTTCTACTAGTCCTTATGATACCTTTACCATTGGGCACTTTGGCAAGGACTATAGGACTAGTGCCAATTTCTAGCGCTGAAAAGTTGCTCCATTTTTCTCCATTGAGGTCAGTTTGAATAATGCTTACAGGGCATCTTCATTGATCCCTGAATCCCACATGACTAATTATTTCCACTACATGTATAACCAAAGAGTTTGTGTTTGTTCGTCACGGTAGAAAAGAGATAAACCTTGTGTGTTTTTAGTTAATCATTTGTCTTCAAAAACTTTTAATACATGTCAGTCTAGTGGTTAACTTTTATCTTTTGCTACTTAGGACTGTTTTATATTTACGTTTTACAAACCCTCAACATAAATCCATAAATCCATCCCAGCAATATTCCTCAACAGTCTGTTCATATTCGAGTCTGGATGAGACGTTCAACACTGCTGGGAATTGATGATGACATGAAGCAGGATTCAAAATTAAGTCCACTTGTCTGAGACAAGTTAGTTTCTGGAAACTACGTAGCAGGTAAAATTTGTTTTCAAACCAGTGAAGGTAAAATTAATTTCTAACTTTGTTAAGTGAAGGTGATCCGTTGTTCGCAATATACACAGCAGCGAAATGGATGTGTGAACTCTTTTGACCACTGGGATACCCAACCTCCCCTCTTTTAAAACGTGTAATTACGTGCTTGATTCCCAAGAAGAACGCATGACCACGAGAACCATGATACATATCAACCACCTGAACGATATCATACACATACACAGAACACACAAGCAGGACCACTGCACGTCAACCTTCTGAAAAACTGGAGCCTAAAATTTAGCAAACAAACATACACTGGACCAATGAACGCAAAAGTCCTGATGTTGTTCAACCCTCTGAACAACAGGTATCTACAGCTTCTGATACACATGTACCCAGGACACACAACATACTGGTACCTGGGCGTTTGGACCTGAACTGAAGGTCTGTAGAAATGGACCAGGACTTTTACCCTCCGTCTGTAATAAATAAAACCGCATGCACATCAAATTAGGTTGGTTGGTTTGTTGTTTAACGCTGCACTCAGCAATATTCCAGCCCTGGGCGCTTATTACGTCGAATACGGTATGTATCTTGATGGTATTTGAAGGTTGCAAAACGTTGCTACATGCCACGTTGCATCATCAATAACTGGTGACCCAATCACATCCACATTTCTCAAATCTAAGTAGGGCAGATATATAGGGTCACTTATGTTGAGAACCGCCTCCGTGGTCTAGTGGTGGAGCGTCTGCCTGGAGAGCAGAAGGTCCGGGGTTCAATCCCCGGCCGCATCACACCAAAAGACGTTAAAAGATGGTACTTGTTGTTACACTGTCTGGCGCCTGGCATTTAGGGGCTAAAACAAGGACTGGTCAGCTCGGAGTCAATATACTGTGTCTGAGTGGGGTATTCATGTTAAACCGCGGCATGGTATCTCAGTGAGCTAGCACTATAAATCAGCATCAGTCCGGACTAGTACAAGCAGCCACACACACACACACACGTACATGCACGTCGCATTGTAAGTGCAATAATCTTGGACCTAATTTCACCTCACCTCACTAATGTTGAGTCTCATCTCCAGCCACATAAACTTACAACACTGTAAGTACAACATAATATTTGTGTATGTAAAGTGAGTGAGTGAGTGAGTTGGGTTTAACGCCGCTTTTAACAGTATTCCATATATATCACAGCGTGTCAGCTTAATGTGGGAGGAAAGCCCGAAGTGATGCATGTCTCAGACGTTTACCACTTCGGTGAAACCCACGGGCACGAGTATTGTGCTGCAAAACCTAGAAACATAATCGGGGCTAACCGGGATTCGACCCCACAATTATAGGTTTCTGGCGTGACCAAGGGACGCAACTCTGCACAGCGAATCACAGCGCCTTAGACGACTGGGGCCCCCGTCCCCCCCTTATGTATGTAAAGACAAAGAGGTGTTACTTGTGTCCCATCGCTGTCAAACATCGGTCTCTGGGTGTACACTGGTCCTCCAGGGGACTTGGCCAGGAGGTTGATGTTCTCAATGTGTTTCTCCAGGTTAAACGGACTCTCTGGATCCACCCCATATTCCATAGTCTGACCTGGAGTGGTGGGGCCTGATAGAGAGGAGGAATAGACTTGATAGATCTTGCGTTCATATCCTCCAGAAAAAATATCTGTGGCATGATGTTTCAAATAAAGTTGTTTATGACAAAACCAATTCCCATTCTATCTGATTATTGTTCATGCATGTGCTATAGTGATAACAAAGTCATTTTAAATGTCTATGGGTCTTGGCTGATTTTCACATTATAAGATTTCAGGCAAGTAGGTTGTATTCTTGGTCTTATTTTCCTGTTGCTGAAGGGAGCCACAGTGTGGTTCTGAAGGTCTTGAAGTGTGTGAGTATTTTATGCTGCCGTCACCACTATTACAGATTTATCATAGCAACATATACCTAAGTGATCAGGTAGGTCTGGAGGAGAGAAACCAGTGGTTGATAACATGAACACGGCTCCATCGATGAGGTCACATAATGTTCCCTGGTCAAGCACGAGGCACTGGAATCAGTGTCTGAAGTAACTGCCTGACCGCGGCTCAGCCTCTGGTAACTTTTCAGTCGGGCTGCATGAAATTTTACTCCACCTGCCTGGCAGATAATTTTATGACAACTTACGTATTCAGTTTTGTCATAACTCCTCGTAGATTCTCAAGTCCTTGTTTGCATTATTTCAGCTGAAGCAAGATGTAATTTGTCTCTTATTTTTCGTATTTTTCAATATTTGTAATGTCTAAATGAGGCAGGTAACTTTTGAAGATGGGCAGGCAACATCTATGGGTCACCAGCCCGACTGTCTTGTTGGGTATTAAAGTTATTTCTGACACTGACTGGGACCGATGTGCACTAAAGCACATACTGATAAACATTTACTCTCAACTCTGGCAATACGTACTTGATGTTGATCTGTCGGGGCTCTCCATGACAACATTATCGGGTGCTTCCTGGGGACTCTTGCTGTGAACTGAAACTTCACCAGGAAATACATACATGTGTTGGAATCCAAACGTTTCTAAACCTGACAAAATATTGTCTCTGATTGCAAGAATATGTAAACTACTTGTTAGTAGCGTTTTTTCCTCTCTAGCTCTCAAAACTGGGCAGTTACAAGGTTCTTACAGATATGGAACAATAAAATTCAAGGCTTTTCAAGGCTTACAACTGTCATTTTCAAGGCTTTTTCAGTTATGTTAATAACCTTAGACTGTCAATATCTTTTTTAATGCACCAAACTATATATTCGTTGTAAAACCTAAAAAGCAGCATGAAAATCGCAAATTTTCTAACAAGATTTATTTTCACAACAACAAATACAAATTAAGTCTGTCATGAATTTTAGTACTTGTTTAAACAAGTATATGTCATTTTGTACAAATTCAATGCTTTTTAAGTTACTTTGGTGATTTTTCTAAAAAGGCTTTTCCAAAACATAAATTTCACTAAAAAATATAGGCGTTTCAAGAGTGACATTAAAACTGAAGGGCTTTTCAAGCCTGTAAGAACCTTGAGTTAATTATTATGGTCAAAACATTCATGCCTTGCTATAACCTTCCTGGGTCGTATTTTGGTCTTGGCGACCTAAACAGGCTATGATGTTCAGAACCTACAAGTCTTAAGAGTGCTGTGTATAAGTTGGATTTTACTCATGGTATCTACCACTGTGAAAGCCTAAATTCCAAGGTTGTTTACATTAAAAAAACTCCTCTAAAACTGACAGTTAATCAAATTTGTCCGCAATATTTTTGACCTCATGCATCTCAAAATCTGTTGCCAAAATATGTCACATTTCTAAATGCAAAATATGTCATGCCCAATTGTTTTTCAATGCTAACTGGTGGCTTGACCTACATACCTGTGAAAAATGTGTGTTAAAAAACAAAATATATGCTATTGTCAGGGGGGATATTCTTATTCTTCTTAAGTGAGAAAAGTGCCAGTGTACACCTTATCTACAGGAACTTAAAATAACAAATCTCAGATCAGATCAAACAAGAGTTTGCCACTAACGTGGCTATATCCCCCACCCCTGTTGCAGAATTTATGACATAATTAAATCTAAACAAACCCTCACCTTTTTTAACCGAAATGGAACTTGTCATGGAAACTGTAAAAAAAAGAAGAGTTTGGAACCTAAGTCCATCTTGTTGCCATGGAAACGTAAAAAATTTCTAAGTAACAAAAGGCACCAGTTCAGCATGTACCTGACAGACCTGCAAAGTTTGATGAAAAAATATTGAACGGTATATGAGTTATGCTCCGTAAACGAAACGTGACGGATGGACGTACGGACGGAGCCCGTTTCTATATCCCCCGCCAACTTTGTTGGGCGGGGGATAATAAGCATATCCTACCTGGCTTATCAAAATGACGGGATGTTACAGGTGTGGTTGGTGGTTGTTGCACGATCGGCGAGGGGGGTACCACAGAACCAACATCCAATTTTCGGGGGGCAGTCAGATTTTGAAAGGAAGGGGGTCGAGGTCGAGGTTCACTGACTGGAGACAGGAATCGAGATGCGCCAACTGCTTCTGTGCTGAAAAAGGTTAGGTCAGGGCTCCAGATAATGTTTAGAGCCATTGGGTATTTACGTTATCATTCACTTTGGGTATTAAATGTTTTGTTTCGGTTGATTTCTTATTAATATCGTTACGTCTGTAGTTCCAATTTAAGTGTGTCACATGTCACGTCGCATAAGCTCACAAAAGCGATATACATTTCGAAGTAGATTTCAAGATACAAGATTTACAAGATATCTGCATACCATCACTTAATATGAAAGATCTGTATGGAAATACAGTTATTCAAGCTGAAAAGGCCACATTGCATTATTATGCAGTGTTGTTAATCAATTAATTTTTGTTTTTTTCATATTTTCAGGTAATGGGTAATGGCAATGTATTTGTTATATTTGAGTGAGTGAGTGAGTGAGTGAGTGAGTGAGTGAGAGTGAGTGAGTGAGTGAGTGAATGGGTGAGTGAGTGAGTGAGTGTGAGTGAGTGAGTGAGTGAGTGAGTGAGTGAGTGAGTGAGTGAGTGAGTGAGTGAGTGAGTGAGTGAGTGAGTGTGTGAGTGAGAGTGGTGAGTGAGTGAGTGAGTGAGTGAGGAAAGGAGGGAAGGAAGGAGTGCTATTTATGATGTTAACTCCTTTCAGCACAGTTATGGTGCTGTAAGCCCAGGGAATCAGCAGATCCTGGTTAGGTTGAGGGACACAACTCCACATCTTTTCCTGAATACTATCTACCTATTTTGATCTTCTGGATTAGGTGGAGGAGCAGGTGCTTGTTTTGGTGGCACTCGGATCTGGTTCAGTACTAAGGGCAACCTGGGGACAGATGCTGAGTGCCTCCTCTGCTCCCTGGGAGGTATGACCAAGGAAGGTCCTCGTTGTTTGCCCGATGTCTGGATAGAGCTGACGCCATGTTTCATTTTGAGAGCAGGTACAGATGTAGATTTAGGAAAGAGTGGGATTTGAGGTGAGTGTATTGCCTTTAGAATGAACGATCTTGATTGTCCTGGCAGAAGTTGAGATTTTGACTCTTTAGATATAAAACTTGGCATAAGCACTGCCTTGGGTGACCTCAAGCTGGCAGACTGTAAACACACAAATAAAATCCTCAGTTATTAATCAATTAAATGATGAGTAGGCAATCCATTGAAATTTTTCTACAAATTATTTTTATGGTAGACATTTTCTTTCTGCATCTTCATATACCAGAAACTGTTCTACTCCTCTAGGTAAGTATCCCAACTGGTTGAATATAGTAACTACATACATGTATCATGATTGAAATTCATGTAGATAAGACCATTAAGGTGCGACCAAACAGAAAGTCAATGTATGAAAATCCAGAGGTCCCATAAAAATTATAGTCTAATGCAAAGACCTTACAAACTGTCCCAAAGTGAGTGAGTGTGAGTGAGTATGGTTTTACGCCGCTTATAGCAATATTCCAGCAATATCACGGCGGGGGACTCCAGAAATGGGCTTCACACATTGTACCCATGTCGAGAATCGAACCCAGGTCTTGGGTGTGACGAGCGAACGCTTTAACCACTAGCTAGGCTACCCGACCGCCCCTGTCACAAAGTACTTTCCTTTAAACACATCCAGACAAAACACCTACCTGTGGTGTGAGTGAGGTGGGCATGGTCCTGTCCTGTGTTCCCATCCTCATAACAAGAGGCGAAGCTCTGTTCTGTGTGGTGTCAGCAGCAACAGGAACAGGTGCTACATTCTGTATTGCAGGAGAAGGGGGAGGGGCCCTATTCAGTATGCTGGGAGAACGTAGTGGAGCATTGATATGGATGTCAGACAATCTTGTCACTGGGATTTCTTCAGCGGTTTCCGGTTGAGGTGTGGATGCTTGCTGCTGAAGACACTTCATGATAACATCATCTGCAGGAGGGGACTGCATGGCCGTGTTTGCAGTTAGCTCCAGAATCTCGGCCGAGTTGTTAATATTCACATCAGTTTCAGCCTTGTTGTTGTAGATTCTAGAAATGGAATCAGTCAATTATAAACCCATACCATATTCGACGTAATAAGCGCCCAGGGCGCTCTCAAAATTAGAAATAGGGGGCTCTTATTAGAATATAATTTTGGTGAGAAAAAAACAAACAGTTGAAAGATCTTGAATATTGTGGTTTATGCTGACAACCTGGAATGATACACAACAAATATATTTTTCCAGAATTTAATTGCCCATAATTAAGAGCGCATATAACACATGTACACGAGTGTGTATTATACACGAATAAATAAGTCTTGTGTACATTGATAAATCAGAAGGGGTGCTAATTGGGATTGTTCACTAGCCAATATATTAGCAAACGCAATTTAATGTACAATTAATACGATCTTATCAGGGATATTCCTTGAGCTGGTGATTTAAGCGTCCTTGCCGCACTATAGAAGTGTTAATTTTCACAACGTACGAAACCAGTTCAGTTTGGTTGCCATGTAATCCCTGTCGCATAATACGCCACAAGTGTGGTGTTTAACTTAGAGTATATATATCCCTGACTAGCGCCACTAGTTTTTCCACCCTGGGGGACATTTGTGAACACAGAGGGGCACCCGGGGGCACATTTGTGAGTGAGTGAGTGAGTATGGTTTTACGCCGCTTTTAGCAATATTCCAGCAATATCACGGCGGAGGACACAAGAAATGGGCTTCACACATTGTACCCATGTGGGGAATTGAACCTGGGTCTTCGACGTGACGAGCGAACGCTTTAACCACTAGGCTACCCGACCGCCCCCAGCACATTTGTGTACACAGAAAGGTACCTGTTGTGCATTTCTCTCGTACCTGTGTCGACTACAAACCCAATAACTCAACTGGTGACCAATGATATAATGGGAGACTAGGGTCAGACTAATTGCAATCATGGCAGGTTTGATTCAAGACAGAAATTGCTCATCTAAAACTTGCCAAGAGAAAATATGAAAATATTTCATAATTTGATTTGTATGTTTGTTTGTTTGTTTGTTTGTTGTATAACACCGCACTTAGCAATATTCCAGCTATATGACGACGGTCTGTGAATAATCAAGTCTGGACCAGACAATCATTGACATCATGAGCATAGATCCACGCAATTGGGATACAATGACATGCATCAACCACGTCAGCGAGCCTGACCACCCGACCCCATAAGTCGCCTCTTACGGCAAGCATAGTCGCCCTTTACGGCAAGCATGGGTTGCTGAAGACCAATTCTAACCTGGATCTTCAAGGGTCTCATAATTTGAACAATTTTTTACCTGTCCTTATCCAAACTTGTTGTGGCTGAACCTAACAATATTGCTGCACTTGGTAAGAAGATGCAGTATTTCCTTTATAAAGAGCTGGGACCTTATTTAGTGGTAGAGAGGAAGGTCCTGGGTTCGATCCCCAGCCGCGTCATACCAAAAGACGTTTCAAAGATGGTACTTGTTGTTACCCTGTCTGGCACACGGCATTAAGGGGAGAAAACAAGGACTGGTCAGCTCGGAGTCAGTATACTGTGTCTGAGTGGGGAATTCATGTTAAACCGCGGCATGGTATCTCAGTGCACGAGCACTATAAATCAGCATCAGTCCGGACTAGTACAAGCAGCCACACACACAGATACACGTGCATGCACGTCGCTACATAAGTCCAAAAATCTTGGTCGCGACATTAAACCCCATTTCACCTCACCTACAGCAACCAATGCTAATTGTAAGATGCTGCTGAATGAATCAGTGTTCATGACTTGGTTGTCTGTGTGTCATCCTACCCCAACAATGTAGATCGTTGCTCACAATGTCAATCAAGGGTCTGTCTCAGGGCCAGATTATTTACTGACTGCTGTTGTATGGCTGGAATAGTGCACAAAACAACAAAGTTATAAAATCAGATTGACATACCCGATCATGGTGGACATATCTTCTCCAAAGCTGTCATCAGAGACGTTGGCTGGCTGTTCATCAATCTCCGTTCCATCAATTACATCAGTTCCCTAATGCGAATTGACACAAAATTAGCTATGCCAGTTATAAAAGTTACAAAGTAAATGTGATTTCATCATCAGCACTTTCTCAGCTACGCATACAGCTGTGGTTTTCAGGATGTAAACAAACCTAGCCAGTAAAACCATTGGTTGATAGCATGATCAATGTTCTACGGCATTGCAGTGCAATGACAATTAACAAGGGCACACAATGACCATTTGACCCTTTTCAAGTTGGCTCTTATGACATACAGGGGTGCTTTGGGCCCATTCTGTGCTGGAACCCCAACTGGGTCTTTGGTCTCAAGGATGAACTGAGTGTGCTAGGGTCTTCTTACCTCCTCTTGTCTGGAGTGCTTCTCCTGAATCTCCAACAGCTCAGCCTCAAACTGAGTCTTTTCCAACACAGCATGCTCAGTATCTAGCTTCATCTCAGCACTGGCTGGCATAGGGAAATAACTAGCCTGTGTATACCTTCATGTTAAAGTGGGGAGGGAAGACTATTCGGGGTATTTTAGCTGTTGCATTAACTAAGAACACAATACTACCGTATTCGACGTAATAAGCGCCCCGCTCTAATAAGCGCCCACGGCGATATTTGCTAATATATTGACTAGTAAACAATCCCAATTAGCACCCCTTCGGATTGATCAATGTTCACAAGATTTATTTATTCGCGTATAATACGCACTCGTGTGTCATATGCACCCTTAATTATAGGCAATTAAATTCTGAAAAAAATATATATGTCGTATATAAACATTTCAGGCTGTCAGCATAAACCACGAAATTTATCTTTCAACTCTGTTGTTTTTCACCAAAATAATATTCTAATAAGAGCCCCCTATTTCTCATTTTAGAGAGCGCCCTGGGCGCTTATTACGTCGAATACGGTATTACAATAGCTGTTTGGTATTAAACATGGGTGTCTAAGGCTCCTGCAAGATTTTGGCAATGATATTTAGTTTGTTTGTTTTGTTTGTGTTTTGTTTAACGCCACACTCAGTAATATTCCAGTTATATGACGTCAGTCTGTAAATAATCGAGTCTCGACCAGACAATACAGTGATTGACATCATGAGCATCAATCCACACAATTGGATGCAATGATATTTGTATCAGAGAACCAAAATCTTAGGGCTGTGTATTGACATGGATTTTGTATTGCAATATATTGCTTTACTGTAACCTGTATTGCGATATGTATTGCAATATATTGCTTTACTGTAACCTGTATTGCGATATGTATTGCAATATATTGCTTTACTGTAACCTGTATTGCGATATGTATTGCAATATATTGCTTTACTGTAACCTGTATTGCGATATGTATTGCAATATATTGCTTTACTGTAACCTGTATTGCGATATGTATTGCAATATATTGCCAGTTTACATTTTTATGAGTTAGTCAGAGTTATACCCTGTGTTAATGTCAGATACAATCAGTCAGTGTCCCTCACTATTTTTCCTTTTCAGTGAATAAATGTATGATAAAGAGATTAAAGAATAAAAACAAAACAAGAGGAGCTTGATAGTCGCGATGTGTACATGCTAATTGATAAAAAGATCTTCAGAGGCAAGTTGTATCAGAAAGATACTATTTTCCAACTCCGTATCGATTAAGAACTCATAAATATACTTATTTATATTTGCCCCAATATATTGCTACATTTACAAATGTATCGCAATACGTATTGCTGAAGATTTGCACCACCCAGAGAGCAGAAGGTGGGTGGTTTAATACCCTGGATTCGTCACACCGAAAGATGTTAAATGATGGTACTTGTTGTTACCCTGCATGGCACTCGGCATTAGGGGAATAAAACAAGGACTGACGACTCGGAGTCAGTTTACTGTGTCTGAGAGGGTTATCCACGTTAAACTGTGGCATGGCGTCTCAGTGGGCAAGTGCCATAAAACCAGCACAAACAAGTGCATAAACGTCGCTGTATGACGTACCTCAAAAAGTGTACTTTATCGCTGGATGAAGTACATCCAGGGCTTCTGATCTTTTAGAGAAGCATCTTAGAATAAAGAATCGATTCTACATGTTTGCCATTTTGTTGTGTTTACTGCAAATATTGATGGCCTTACATGGTATTTTCAATATTCAACAACATTGTGCTGATTTGTTTTACACTTTGGTAGTATAACACATGATCACAGTTTTAAACAGGCATTCTCAGAGGCCCCTGGTCTAAATGTTTGTAGATTATGTTTAGTGAGTGAATGAGTACGGTTTTACGCTGCTTTTAGCAATATTCCTGCAATATCACGGCGGGAAACACCAGAAATGGGCTTCACACATTGTACCCAAGTCGGTAATCGAACCCAGGTCTTCGGCGTGACGAGCGAACGCTATAACCACTAGGCTACCCGACCGCCCCGTAGATATGTTTAGCAAGTGTCAGCTAAAAACACAAGTGGAATTAGCTATTTACCAATTTAGGTCATAATTCTTATTATAATGAAAATGTTAAGCACTTCGAAGGTGACCAGTATTTCAATGCTCACAGACCAGTTGAGAGAAATTGGCTATGATTCTTTAATTAAATTGAGAATTGTATTGAATGAAATCTAAATACCTTTCAAAAAATACAAATTATGGTAAAACAATATTTTTTCCCAATTTCCCTGACACAGGCACTTCTAGATAAATCTCTGATGATTCATTATTGTGTGATAATATTCACTTCCAATACTCTTCCCTCAATCACTTTAGCATTTCCTGAAACTGGCATATATTATAAGATACACATTTAATATCCAGAGATACAGATAAGCAGCTTATTTGCGTAAAAATGCCCCCTTAGAAATATTCAAAACTCAATCACTTTCAATTAACTTGTGTACAGAAACTCATGCATTAAATGAAAAACTCAAATATATAAAAACATCACGAGTAAAGACCCAATGAAGCTTTTTCAGCATGCGTACAAAGGAGCCAATTTCCAAAACACAATTACAAGCTAATTTACTTTCCGAGTCAAGCCTATATATCTAGAACAGTTATATACATCTAAAACATTATTACATTTTTTTAAAATCTTAAAATGTTCATTAATTTGGGGAAACATCCAATAAAGTGATAAATAGATGTGTGAAAAAATATTGGTTACCCAATGAAAAATTTAATAACCCAATTAAAATAGAAACCCTAGAGTAAAATCTCAATTGCTCAAAAAGTTATCTGGAGCTCTGAATGTCAACATAGGCGTTAGGCCTTGTAGGCGCATAAGTTTTTGGCAAAGACTATTTGTAGCACAACATGATGACAATGAGAACTGAGTGGACATAACGGCTACCTAAGGCCAACCTTTATATTTGGATGAGGATACAGTTTTATGATGAATTTGTTCAGGTTTTTAAAGTTGACCTCTGAGCCGCCTGAAAAACAGTACAAAAGTAACTTCAGAAGAGGATATGAAAAAATGTTTTACAAGATACTTTTTCAAACTTTTGAACCATCTTCTCGAGGCAAGGGAGTTAACTGACAATAAAAGTCCAGTTTCCACCCTTGCCGAACTTGGCTGGAATTCCTGGGCTCGATCGTAGCACCACCAGTGGCTATTACGAGTTATGTCCCTTCTATGCCTCTCCTATGGACCAATCAGATTCCACCTCTCGTTTCACTTGCATTTGCTTTAAACAAAACGGCAGCGCCTAGTCAGGATGATGTGATCGATATTCAAGATCTATATTGTGATAAAACAGGTCTTACATCGCAAAGTGCATCAAATCACATGAGCACCTTGATAAAAACATGGAAAGATTTGGAAAATATGTTGACGAGTTGGCGGTGCACATGCTTTACGAATCCTGCAATCGACCAAAATCTGCATGACAGTTTACGAACCCAATTTCGATTTCAATACCTGATTTTGATTGGACTATGCATATACTCTTTAGTCCAAGTAAGGATAAGAATTTATGGATGAACAACTTCTTTATTACAATATTACAATTAAGAGCAACATTTCGGTGTAGGTTCTAACATCGTTATCAAGCAAGTGATGTACAGGGTGTTAGGGGCAAGTATATATACAAGTAGGAGGCAATGTTTATACAGTAGAGTAGAAATTGTTATACTGGAGTAGAGAAGCCTGTTATGTACACACAAGGGGGGATCCAACTTCTATATGCCTGTCAAAGAAGTAACTCTTTAGTCCAGCCAAATTCTAACTCCATAAAACCAGCCTTGTTCGGCAAGGGTGGAAACTGAACTTTTATAGTCAGTTAACTCCCTTGCCTCAGGAAGATGCTTCAGGACACCTGGACCTTATGTTTTCAGGGTGCAACTTCAGCCACTGGTCTGAGGCCCAAGTCGTGTCATTTATTTCGGTCAACAAAGTTCAACTTATAATAGCTCATATATATCAGTGTATACTGAGACTAAAATCCATGAAGTTAATTTAGAGATGGAAGTTTGGGAATGTAGACCCATCCTTGGCACAGAAGTGTTTGTAGTACAAGATTACGAGAATTATATTTGAGTGACCAAAATGGCTACCATTATAAGCAGAAACTTGCACAAGAAGTAGAAACTTACTAGAGCCAAAACTCTTACTTGTAACACTTGTAGTCTGTACGATTATTAGAAATTATCAAATAAAATGAAAAGAAGATTCTATACACATCAGTACTGGTGATTTTCTGGGCTAAATTTTGAACAATGTTCAAGATATAGCTGTAATATTGCTGATCGCAACATACAACAGGGTATAGACGCAATACGTTAAATCCAACTGGACCCAGCTGATACAGAATGCTACTGCATGTAACATGCTTTGATCTTGATAGACAACAAGTCTTTGACTTTCACTAGTTTCATTGCAGTATCTATGCCTGGATCAACAGTGTTGGGAAATATAGGGGGTCCAGGGTTAGAACTAAGCTCGAAAGCTTTTCTAGCCTGGGTAAAGATAAAATGCACTTGTAATGTTAAAACAATCGGGAAATTTGGAAATTTGTTCATGCCTGCAGCATTTTGCACTAGCCCCAGGTGAGCAACTATTGTTAAATTCTAACCCTGCTTGAGGTTTGTTTCTGCAATATTTGAAACTAGGTTCTTCCTGAATTTGTAACTTTTAACATAGGGTTATGTTTGTTTGTTTGTTGTTTAACGCCGCAGTCAGCAATATTCCAGCTATATGATGGCGGTCTGTAAATAATCAAGTCTGGACCAGACAATCCAGTGATTAATATCATGAGCATCGGTCCACGCAATTGGGATCGATGACATGCATCAACCAAGTCAGCTAGTCTGACCACCTGATCGGGTTATAACAAGGACTCTTTCACCGGAGATGCCAAACCCCAATTGAGGCAATTTATCTGTGATAATATGTGTCTAAAATTAGTCATTATTAAAACAAAATAGTAATCACTATTAGCATTACCGACTGTATGGTTTAGATAACAAATCATCTTTTGCATATTTCATCCCCCAAACTCCTCGAGATCTGTAAACCTTCCCATCGCAAGCTAAAACAATTGATTCATAATTGGTTGTATACATGATAATACCTTTGGTGAAATCAATATCAACTATAAATTACCCCGATGAAAATATCGTAATGATTCTACCAAAATCGTAACGGTTGGCATCTCTGGACTTCTTTCTTGCTTCACTTCAAACAGGGGGCACGGGTGGCCAAGTCGTCTAAGGCGCCGCGATTCGCTGTGCAGAGTTGCGTCCCTTGGGCACGCCAGAAACCTATGATTGTGGGTTCGAATCCCGGTTCGCCCCAATTATGTTTCTAGGTTTGTCAGCACCATACCCGTGCTCGTGGGTTCCACCGAAATGGTAAACGTCTGAGACCTGCATCACTTCGGGCTTTCCTCCCACATCAAGCTGACACGCCGTGATATAACTGGAATACTGTTAAAAGCGGCGTTAAACCCAACTCACTCACTCACTCACTCATTTCAAACACACTTGCATAAGTGATCTTAGGGCTAAGATGATCGTAACTCCAATACTTAAAAGTAGATACTTGTTCACTATCGATTTATGAACTTTGCAAAATGAACATAATAGGTATTGGCGATTTCATCTGTGGCTTATAAACTGAGGTCCAAAAGAAACTTTACCAACTGAAAATATAAATTTCAGACAAAGTATAAATTTTTTTTCGATGAAGTCTATCTAAAACACATAACCTAAATACAACAATAGTGTATGCAGAAAATGTTAATCGTCTGTTACATGTTTGCGAGATAACACGCGAAAAAGTGAAAAACACGTGCACCAAGGACAACTGCAAATGCACGTGCGGGTAAGGGTATAAAATGATTGCAACGGCAAGTCAGACATCCACAGTGATAAAAAAACACAAAAGAAATGCCATGACTCACAGTCGAACAACGTGAACGAGCCTTGGGTATGGTACACCCACGCCCATATTGTACGAACCTTCGGTTGCTCCCGTGTTGCCGTTACCAACTTGATGCAACGTTACAGACAGACAGGGCGGACCGCTGACAGGCCAAGAACAGGCAGACCCAGGGTGACCACGCCCCATGATGACCGGTACTTGCATACCTTGCACCTCCAAAAACGCTTCCTGACAGTGACGTCATCGGCGACAAATTCCTTAGGTCACAGGGTTAGTCGACAGACAGTGGCCAGGAGACTCAGGGCTCATGGAATCAGGACTTTTAGACCATACAGAGGACAGCTATTGACAGCGCAACATCGTCGACTGCGATTGAGATGGGCCCGGACTGTACGACGTTGGCAACGACGTGACTGGCAGAGGGTTGTCTTCACTGACGAAAGTTGACTCTGTATGCTGATGGAAGACAACGTGTTTACCGCCGAAAGGGGTGAACGAACGGCGGCGTGTTGCGTGCAGGAGGTCGTACCATATGGTGGAGGAAGTGTCATGGTGTGGGGAGGGATCTGTGGGCAGGAGAGGGCACCGCTGGTCATCGTTGACGGAAACTTGACAGCTCAGCGTTACATGGATAACATTCTTCGTCCAGTTGTCCTACCATTTCTCCAACAGCAGCTACGTTTTTTCATGTATCAGCATGACAACGCTAGAGCCCATACAGCCAGAATTGTCACTAGCTTCCTCGCAGCCAACAACGTCAACGTCTTGCCGTGGCCTGCACGCTCACCCGACATGTCCCCTACAGAACACCTCTGGGACTTGATGGACCGTCGTGTTCGACAACAACCACACTCTCCAGCAAACCGGCAAGAACTGATCTTGGCCCTCTAAGAATGGCGTCAATTCCCACGTGACCTCACCAGACGACTGACTTTGTCTGTGCGTCGAAGAGTTTTTGCGTGTATTGAGGCATTTGGTGGTCACACACGCTACTAATGACTTGTTATTGAACGTGAGCGATTGTTTATGTACTCTGCCTATTGTCTATGATTCTGAAAGCTCGAGTTTTGTACAACACCCAACTTTGGGGGGCTCTGACGTCATTCTCGGTTGCGGTATGATTGTCATTTTCAGTGTTGATTATGTTGATATATTGATCTTCTCAATTCACTTTACTTCATGCATGTATGTTTTGTTGTATTTGAGCAAGAGTGATTTCAAACTCTGGTAAAGTTTCTTTTGGACGTCAGTTTATATTATATCTGTGGATTATATTGTTATATGTTAAGATCATGGAGTTTATGAAGAACCATAAACCTTGAACATTCAATTGAAAACTTATGATCGGAAATAGTAACATGCATAAAAAATAATAATAATGACAACATTGGTGTATACTAACTATTTTAATCATTTACAACAATAACGGCTGTAGTTCTGGCAACTTCCAAACTTTCGGGAAGTTGTAATCTATCGGACTGTCATTCAGGCGATGTTTCTGACAGATCACGATCTGAAATATACTATCATGAAAATGTATCCCGTGGAAAAGCCAGCCCCTTTCTACAGAATCGTTTGTCTGGTCCTCAAAATACGGCTTATCTGCGGACATATACAGCAGGCTCAAGATAATCTAAGCGCTAAGATGGCTTTGTGCAAGTGGGCCCAGATCAATACTACTGTACAAGTTATAGCTGTAATGTTACAGTATGAAGAAGGATTTGTTCCTCGCCTACCTTGTGCCTCATCAAGTTGGTTTTTCAGAGTGTTGATTTTGTCTTGTGTTCCTTGCACGATTTGTTCTTTAGCTGCTATCTGTTCCTGGTACTCTGCCAGATCCCTCACTAAGGGAAATGTCTTGTACTTCACCATGTAGTCAGCATAGATGTCTTCATAGTGTTTCACTATACCTTCATGCTGTAATCTATACGCAAAAAAGTGTTTGAAATTAAGCATGAAAGTCAATGGGACCTTTATTATCATTATCCTTCTGTTTGGAGTTAAAAGATTTGGAGGGACCTTGATTCAAAGAGATTCAGATCAGATGTCTTCATAGTGTTTCACTATACCTTCATGCTGTAATCTATACACGAAAAAGTGTTTGAAATTAAGCAAGAAAGTCAATGGGACCTTTATTATCATTACCCCTGTGTTAGGAGTTAAAAGATTTGGAGGGACCTAGATTCAAATAGAACAGATCAGAACAGAATGTATTTCATATAGTCTGGCCATGACGTCAAAAGTACAGATGATTGGAAAACATTTATTACATTGTGACAGAGCGCTTCAATTTATATTGGTTTTGGAATTTCTAGGTTTTGACATTTTTTTCAAGATAAAGAGCTAGCTGGAATAAAATGCTGTCGTCATTTGTTGTGAGTAGCAATACAAACTTGTGCATGGAAGGATATTCATAATAATACAAGGGCAATTATCTAGACCTTAAGTTGATATAAGCTGGACATATAAATACCAGTAGTGCATGGTATTCATCATCTAAGTCTTCTTTACAGAAATTGCATAGACTGTCAGTAAAGTCAAAATCACTAGACATTCTATATTTATGTATTTTAAAATCATTCGAACATCTAACTTTTGTTAGAGCTCTTCTTAAATGCACAGTCTTAATCGATGATAGATATTTTTCAGGTGGTAGTAAGGATTTGTAGGTGCAGATTCAAATACTGTCGAAGAAAACCTTGAGGACACCTTTACAAACGAGTGAGTGAGTGAGTGAGTGAGTGAGTGAGTGAGTGAGTGAGTGAGTGAGTGTGTCACATTGAAGACTATTTCAGTTGTATCTTGACCTGTCAGCTTAATGTGTAAAGAAACCTTTTCAGAACATTCTCAGCCTCAAAGATGCATTGTACCCAGTTTCATTGACCTTCAGCAGACACTTTTTAGATATCATTTAACAATCTTTTGTTATCCGAAGGACGACCTCGACCATCGACAGGGCTATAAATGAGACATACTAGATATGATATCCCTGAGATGTTAAAGCACTACTTGAATTTTTTTTATAAAGGTGATCAAAGATACATGGGAGTACTTACACCACATTAGTCTTTACTTACATTGTTTCAACATACATGTAATGAAACCCCAGTGAACCACATAGTTCTACCTTTCATCCTCTCCATTGGCAATGAGGCAGTTCAGTTTTCTGTTCAGGGCTACTTCATGCTCCATTAGGACCACCATCGTCTTCCGCAGGCTGAAAACAACACCAGCAGTTGAAGAAAGCATACAGTCGGACAGAAACAAACAATGTCTCGCAATATACCAAAGTGCTATGCTTATAGTAAATATTTCTCATTTTAAATATATGTAGTAATTATTATTGGTAAAATAATAGTTTTAGATATTATTTCTTCCGATCATTGTATCAAAATTCTTTTAAGTTATATTAGTGGGTATTTTTTAATTGAATCATCAGTAGATTGGGAGAAAATGTGTGTTCAGCTGATTGCTTAGGTTGATTCTGACTTAGTTTACAAGACATGATTGTTTGATGATTGTTTGTTGTTTAACGCCGCACTCAGCAATATTCCAGCTACATGTATATGACGGCGGTCTGTAAAATAATTGAGTCTGGACCTGACAGTCCAGTGATTGACATCATGAGCATTGATCCACGCAATTGGGATCGATGACATGTATCAACCAAGTCAGCAAGCCTGACCACCTGATCCCGTTAGTCGCCTTTTACGAAAAGCAGTCGCCTTTTACGGCAAGAATGGTTTGCTGAAGACCTATTCTACCACGAAATCTTCACAGGTCTGTTTACGAGACAAATACAAAGGGTAATATTAATATCTCAGAGTCTGCATATAAAAATAATGCCTAGCATAACAAGAAATATAAATGAAATAGTAAATCATCATGTCTAGAGATGCTTTATTGCAAAGTTAGGAATATGCTGGTATCCGAAAATGATGAGGGTTGTACATGGATCCCCAGGCCGGCGTTATTGTGAGGTATGGCAGTAGTTAAATATATCTGTGATGTTTAAAAAAGTTATACTGCCATACAAAAATGACAAAATAAAAATGTTGCTGTGGAATTTGAATTAATTTGACTCTGCTGAAATGAAAACAGAATTGAAAGCATGAAAAGAAACAAACAAAAAATATTGATTTCTTTAAGTTGGTTGGTTGGTTTGTTGTTTTACACTGCACTCAGCAATATTCCAGCTATATGAATAATCGAGTCTGGACCAGACAATCCAGTGATTGATATCACTAGCATCGATCCACGCAATTGGGATCGATGACATGCTTTAACCAAGTCAGCAAGCCTGACCACCCGATCCCGTTAGTCGCCTCTTACGACAAGCATGGGTTGCTGAAGACCTATTCTACCCCCTATTCTATCTTCACAGGTCAGTCCTTTAAGAGAAGATTTGGTTTTGAACCTACTGGTATACTGATACTCTTAACTTCCATTTGACATTAACAATTACTCTTTACCTCTGTATGCTTTTCTCAAATAGTCCATGATTTTGGTCTGTTTTATTTTAGTGAGTGTACTTAATACTCCATGTTTTGTATAGAGTTATATTAGACTGGTCCAGTAATGACCAGATCTAAAATAGTCTAGCAATGGGAATGCACATTTATGGTCATGATTTCCTGTAACTACTGCTTTGTACTTTTCTACCCCACATATCCTCAATTACGGGTGGCCCAGTCGTCTAAGGCGCCGCGATTCGCTGTGCAGAGCTGCATCCCTTGGGCACACCAGAAACCTATGATTGTGGGTTCGAATCCCGGTTCACCCCGATAATGTTTTTAGGTTTGTCAGCACCATTCCCGTGCTCGGGGGTTTCACCGAAGTGGTAAACGTCTGGGACCTGCATCACTTCGGGCTTTCCTCCCACATTAAGCTGATACTTCGTGATATAACTGGAATACTGTTAAAAGTGGCGTTAAACCCAACTCACTGACTCACTGACTCAATTATCCAGTGTAACATATCTCCATTCATGAGTCGAAATTTAGCATGAAGGTCGATGGGTTATTTAATACTATGGCAGCAAATCTCAAAAAACCCATGACAGTCGCAGAATCCCCCTTAATTTCTGGACCAAGTTGTTTCCAAAAGCTTCATTTTAAACCCGACACAAATGGCACAATGCTGAAAAAGGCATCCAAACAAATTACTTTCATGAGCGAGAGAAATTCTGTGCTAAGTTAGAGATAGGAACAATGGATTTCTGCAGTAACAGTATCTGAAAATGAAAACAGTACCTTGGCTCCTTTTAATAATATTTTATCACTACGAGTATAATTTAACAACTGGTTTTTTCTGTAACATAATTTCATTACAGAGACTAGATGTCAGTATAGTTTGAGTCCTAAAGATGTACTTAAGTTGATCAATAGCAGTTTCTCCTAGTTACTGAACAAAACCCTACTACTGTGTGCCGCAGTGGTGCTAAAAGTTTCAGAAAATATATCTTCATGCCAATCCATCAGATTCTTTTAACTCGGATACTTTCTCAATTACACGAAATATATATATAACAGTCTGTTAAAGCAATATCTCAACCGAGGTTGATGATTTTGAAACTTGATTTTAAGTATGATAATCACTCAGCATAAACATCTGGCCAATCTATGTTTCACTTGCCTGAGGTATCATTTACTGCAGCTATTACAACTTTGTACAGAAAGATGCACAATTCATTGCCTCTTTACTGTACATATGGGAGTAGAATCTAAATCTGACACAGTAACTGGAACATGAACTCTTTTATGGTACAACATTTCAAAACTGTGATATTTTATCCACATTTTGGGTAATTGGTTTTCATCTCATAGTGTTATTATTACGTCACAAGAAGTGTCTGTAAAGCTAATTACAGGCTTGGATTAATCTAATTAGGAAAGCATTCACTCACAACTGTGTCACAATAATTCTTAAGTGACAATGAAAATAATATGGCTTTGCAGATGTCCTTCTGCTTAGCTCATGACATTTACCAAGACGGGTGTCAGAATCTTTTGAAAAAATGACACACACTTTTTTCAAATATGAAATGATGATTTATGAGGCCTGTGAACTCTGTTCAGCAATAGCATGCTTTTTGCCAACAGTTAAGTGGTAATTAGAGAATAATTACCACATGTAACTAATTCCCAATATATGCTAAAAAGGGACGGGAAAATGATTAGTGTCGGTGTAAAGTTACACACAGTCTGTGGAGGCAAGGACAGTGCATGTGCCCATGTTCACGATTGTTGTTTGTAAAGAACCCAGAGCATGTTGTAGAGTAACCAGAAATCGGTCGGGAACTGCTGTGTTTGCTGGTGTAATTACTGCAGGGCTATTATCACCTGAACATTAACAATAGACGACTCAAATTACCACAGTAGGAGGATGACCTGTTGATATGATATTCATGTGCTGCATTATGCATCATTTACCAGTGCAATGGCCCAGGGATATAAATTGACACTAGCCTGTTAGCCGACTTTGTCTAATGTTTGAGGGTTGTAGAATTTCAGGCTTTATAGGCGCCGCCCTTTTAGCATCCAAACTGGCTTCCACGGGAAATATTGTTTGAGTGGTACCAAGCAATATCTCCATCATGTCCAAGGACATATTGGCACAATGAAATTGCATCACAATGCTTTGCAGACTATTATGAAATCATCAGGTACCATGAAATCAAATGACATCACTAATCTCTCTACCTCTGAGCTGGTCAGCTGTACTTGTTACACTGAGGACATTGGTTATTACTGTTCACCAACTGAAAATGGTGGAAGAATGATTTGGGACGATAAATAGAGAATCTCACCCGAGTGTCTTTTGATATCAAATATATCAATACGAGTTGATAAAAGTGGAAAAATCCGAGGCTTGTCGAGGATTTTTGCCACTTTTATCAACGAGTGTTGATATATTTGATATCAAAAGACACGAGGGTGAGATTTTATTTATCATCCAACATCATTCTTTCAACTTTTTCAATTTGTTGACAGTAATTAGCAGTGTCTTCAGTGTAAAAAGTACTGCAAACAGCTTCAGTAGCAGAGCCATTAGTGATGTCATTTGATTGTGACGTCATGGTAACCAGTGATGTCACAATGGTCTGCAAAGCATTGTGATGTAATTTCATTGCAGCGATATCTACAGTGTAGATATCGCTTGATCTCATCCAAGCGATATCTCCTGTGGGAGCCAGTTTTGGATGATAAACAGAATTTTCCCCCCGAGTGTCTTTTGATATCAAATATATCAACACTTGTCAATAAAAGTATGTAACCTCTCGGCAAGCCTCTGAGTTTCAAACTTTTATCAACTTGTGTTTATATATTTGATATCAAGAGTGACAAGGGTGAGATTCTCTGTATATTTGGAATGGAAAACATTTTGGGTTAAGTTGCCTCTCTGATTCTGTAATATCAAACTTATGTTTGATACACAATACACTTCATTCTGTTCCTTAAACTGTTTTAATGACCTGCAAAACAAATCTTAAGTCCTTTAATTTTTTTCAGTGTAAATGTGTTTATATTCCTGTAGTGATCATTCAGTGTTTGTTTCTCTGTTGTTTTATGCAGTACTGTATTATGCAACACTTACCATCATTCCATGTAAATGATGGTGGCTTGAAAATAATTAAGTCTGAACAGGGTCATAAAACATAATTACTGTTTTACTTTACACAACAATTATCTGCTGCAATGAGTGAGTGAGTATGGTTTTACACCACTTTTAGCATTATTCCAGCAAAACTGCGGTGGGGGACACGAGAAATGGGCTTCACACATGTGGGGAATCGAACCCGGGTCTTCAGCGTGACGAGCAACCTTTTTAACCACTAGGCTACAGCTACAGTAACAGAGTTGCCATCTCGTATGAAATGGTAAAAAGTGGTAGTTTGTCACAAGTACATCCTGAATTTTAATTGTTTTGGACTAGCAGATTATGCTTATTTCAAACCCTGTACTCAAAACTTCTGATTCAAGGTTTTAGCCTCTTGTATTTAAGAGGATTTCTTCTGAAATATATGTCTGTATATTTTTACTTTCTACACTTGAAACACACAATTTAGATAGTTGTGAATACTAATAAATGTTAAAAAACCCAATTTAAACAACTCTATTTTTTTAATAACACAGTTACATTCTACCTTTCACAGTTGTCTCTGTTGAGGGTGAATTGCTTGTGAGCACGTTTGGTGTCCTCGTCAAGTTGAGAAATAGCTTCTTCCAGCTTTATACTTTCCCTTTGTTTTACCTCAATTTCTCTCTCATAGGCTGTGAAACATAAGTATAATCAAGCCTTTAAACGTAAGAGTAAGGTCCATTTTGGCTGAGTTACATAAAGACAAGGGGTGTAATGATTAATCTATTGATGCACGATGACTGGACTGATGAACATAATTGCTGATAAGTTAAGATATCATTAGTCAACATCTATGCCAATGCCATGCAACACTATTGACAGCTTTGATAGACTTTCTTAAATGGTCAAATACTCTTATCACATACATTTTGATCCAAAGTAAACCTTGCTTGAAGAGAAATGTGGATATCAATTAAAAATTCAGAATTATGTGTCAGGCAATAATCAGAGGCACCTTCCTTACTTCTTAACAGTGTTCAAAACAATCTGTTGAATTTCAGTATGGACTTGGCTGAGTTAAGCTTTGTCATCATATCAAATAATAATTTAAGGAAATGGGGACATGTTCAGGCAGTTATCAAGTTATTACATTAAATGGTTGTACCTATATTGAAATAGTATCACGAAAGTGTTTCTAACTATTGCAATAGTGGAAACACCATTTACAGTTACCGGGTTGTAGTTAACATAATTTTCTTTACTCTCAAAATATTGTGTTAGACAGACAGATGACTTTGGGCTGGCTGTACGCAATCTCAGGTAAAGTGCAGAAGCTACCATAACAGTGGAAAATAAGAACAATACATATATATTATACTATTATTATTTAACTACTGTCAGTATGTTAGTCAGATTGAGTCAGGAACAATAAACTTCTTACCTTCAATTTGCTGATTCTCTTTTTCTATTAGCTTCACATACTGCTTGTTTTCAAATTCTGCAAAGAACACCTTTCAGATACCATTAGGATAATTAGTTCAAAGAGGGGTAATTTATTTAATATAATTGAGAAACCAATGTATGAATTGATATGGTTTTGAAACAGCGTTAGAAATTGGCACTAGTCCTGTAGTCCTTACCAAACTGCCCAGTAGTAAAGGTATCGATCCTAAGGACTAGTAGAAATTGGCCCATTTTAAGGGTTTTGCTATATGTTATCATTATAAGGACTAGTGGACTGAAACTGTAAGTTTCTAGCCCTGTGAAAGATAGGCCTTTGGGCCTATAAGGCAAATTCATAATTATTATATACAGTAAACAACGGTTATAACGAACTCAAAGGGACCACTTTAATAATGATTATAACCGTAGTTCATTATATGGATGGGACCAAGAAATAGTGTTATATCCGTCAGTTTGTAGTAAGCTGTTCATTATAAACATACTTTACTGTAGGCTATATAAATTGATTACAAATTCAGCTGCCTATATATTGTACATTAATGTACACTATTTGGCATATCTTTACAACATGTATGATATACTTAAAGTCTTTTCAGAATAACATGCAATGTATGAATGAATTGTCATTACCACAACTCTGAATCAGTCTGTCCAAGTCCATAACTGCACCATCATTGAAAGCCATGCTCCTCTTCTGACGCAGCAGCAATAATAATAATCTTCTCCAAGAATAAGACCAGTTTAAAATGTAAAATAACCTAAGTAGTTGTTTTATTCATCTGACATTAGGAGAGGAAGGCAATTGTTTAACTCAATCATTCAAGAGCAGCTTATGAAATGTAGGCCTGTCATTGTCAATCAAAACTTTACAATAATATTTTACAATTCATTCCTGTTACTAGGCAAGCAAATTAAACCATACGTAAAATCAAGACAACATAAAATGCTACTTCCTCTATCAATATGTTGCTCTAACTGTGAAATTTAATGATCACCAAAAGATTCTAACCTTCCTAATTTGTATCGTCTGCAAGGGCGCCAAAATTCAAGGAGGATAACTCCGATGACACTTATTTGAAGCTCCCCACAGGGAAATTGTTTGAACAATGTTAGGAGTTTCTAGTAAGCTCACAATCGTTTATATACAAAAATGGGCACCCCTGATCAAAACACCCCCACCACTCCTATCCCACCTCTACCTCAGTATGATCTTGGGAATTCTTCATTAACAGTAATATCGGAGCCATCAGAACAGCAAAATGATGTTTACAGCTTCTGATTATGTGGTATCGTACTCCGATGACATGGGGCGTTACTCGTGCTGCCGAACGCCAGTTTGCCTGGCCACGGCTGGGCTATTTACAGGCCGAGGTGAATTACTAGTCAATCTGCTGACTGCGTCGTAACACAAGATTCACTCGCTCACACAATCACTGGATCAAATGGGAACGTTAAATGGATAAATACTAAAACCAGTTGTATCATAAAAAACATAGAAGCAAGTAACTATGTAATCCAAGAATGTTTGTCATGGTTTTTTTCTTAATAGTTTTGTGTAGTATATGTATATGTATATGAGTTGCATCCCTTGGGCACGCCAGAAACCTATGGTTGTGGGTTCGAATCCCGGTTCGCCCCGATAATGTTTCTAGGTTTGTCAGCACCATACCCGTGCTCGTGGGTTTCACCGAAGTGATAAACGTCTGACACCTGCATCACTTCGGGCTTTCCTTCCACATTAAGCTGACACGCCGTGATATAACTGGAATACTGTTAAAAGCGGCGTTAAACCCAACTCACTCACTCACTAATGCCACAGTAAAGAAATTAACTATAAGTAACTTCTTACTAAATAGGACTTCTTCGTCCGGTCGTTATTCTGGCATTAAGTAATATTTGATATTAGTCCAATTTATTTTAATCATATATTTTATTTTAAAACATACTTAAAGAAGAAAACATTACTCTTATTTATGGGTAAGAAAATGGCTTTAATTTTTCAGATGAATTTCTACAACTTTGTAAGATGAACAACGGTTTTGGTGTATATTTGAACAATTTTGATAATTAATACTTTTCACGCTCACAAATACTTAAACACCTGAAACAAAATCTCTGGGGTACTATTAAAAGAATCAATAAACTCTGATAATAGTGATAAATAACTCATATCTCGAATGACAGGCTAGAAATCATGATGTGATCTTTTTGTCAAAAGAAATCCGTGCACGCTCACAATTGCTCTAAAGTAACAGCGCGTCTAAATATTTCAGTTGACAAATTACTACTCGGCAGGAGGAGCAAGCTTCCGCGAACTGGCCATATTGTGCAATAATAGCCTGCGAAACTGAGGCCGACTTTGAAGTGGTTTTCAATGACTTCAGGACTATTCCCCGATCGGAATGTGAATTAACTGTGACGATGACCCATAGATATAGTTAAACATGTCTTTTCAGGCAACTAACCAACCCTTTATAGTTTCTGAAATACGTCCCGAACGTGTCGGGTCCTGACTTTGTTTAACAGTGCTTAGACGCTTGGCGGGGCCACGTTTCGTTAAGTAGAGAGAGGCGGCGGGGGGTGGTACATTTCCCTTAAGGTTCGCACAGTACTTTAGTGTTCAGGTAATGTACTGACATACTTTACTACTCGTTCTTACTTCAATCACAGGTAAACATAACATTTCGCATGGTGTGCACGTGCAGTGCCAGTCCTAAATATTCACGTGATCAAATGACGATATATCATTGGACAAGAACCTTTTTTGCATATTTAACAATCTGGAACGTACAACAATTTTCATTATTATTATTATTATTATTATTATTATTATTATATAGTTTATGCTGTATATGTTTTGGCGAATAGATGTAGGTCTGTATAAAGAGACTATGTTGAACGAATAAGGTTTGGAGAAATGTTCATTGATCTTTTGTAACCGATGGAGAAACACTATCAACTATACCCTAGCTGCAAATGACGATTACGTGTTTCGGGAAGATTCTTTTCTGTTGTAAATCTCCATGTATAAAACTTTCCTTTCACAAATACACCCCTAATAAAACCTGTAACTGTCTAACATTCTAAAGAAACACTCTAAGCGCAAAATTGCAACAGTAAAGTTGTGCAATAATTACAAAAGGTATTTAGCGGGGAAAAGGGTGAAAACAAAACAAACGATACCGCACCTGACATTATTCACTTTCATTCAGATCTGATTTAACTCTGAAATTGACATATCTGAGTCTCATAATAAGACGACATATACACTTCTAAACTGAAATATCTGAACCTAACAATAAGACGTCGTGTATTCTTCTGAACTCGAATATCTGAACCTCATCATAAAACGACGTGTAAGCTTCTAAACTGATATATCTGAACCAAATCATAAGACGACGAGTAAGCTTCTAAACTGATATATCTGAACCAAATCATAAGACGACGAGTAAGCTTCTAAACTGATATATCTGAACCAAATTATAAGACGACGAGTAAGCTTCTAAACTGATATATCTGAACCTCATCATAAGACGACGTGTAAGCTTCTAAACTGTTGTATCTGAACGTAATCAACGGACGACGTGTAAGCTTCTAAACTGAAATATCTGAACCAAATCATAAGACGACGTGTACATTTCTAACTTGATATATCTGAACCTAATCACATGACGGCGTGTACGCTTCTAAACTGAAATACGTGAGCCGGATTATGCGACGTATTACCATAAAATGCACGACAAAGGTGATAAACATTGTTTGTTTTTTGTTTAACGCCGCAATCTCCAATATTCCAGCTATACAACGTAAATAAGCTGTAAATAATCGGGTCTGGGCCAGACAATACAGTGATGGACATCATGAGCATCGATCTATGAAATTAGGATACGATGACTTTCATCAACCAGGTTAGTTGCCTCTTTCAACCATAGCTTCTTACGACAAGCCTGGGTTGCTGAAGACCTATTCTAACCCGGATGTTAACGGTGTTCGTCCTGTGATGTGTGGGTGTTGTTGAGCATTTGATGTCGGACCCGTTTGCGTTGAACCATGGATATTACAGATCAGGAATGTGTGTAGCCATGCCACATGTCACGTTTTTTCGAATTTAAATATGAGGGCATATGATATTCATTAAAAAATGTATTCATTTTGAAATCCTTTTAACAACGATTTCCAATCAGTCGGTTTCCGCTTATTGTGACGCTGTCAGTCTCCCACCCTTTCCAGCTCCGTTACGCCGAACCCAAACAACCTCTCATAAGCTGGGGAATTTAATGAAAGTGTAAAACGTGAAATGCCTCTCGTAAAACGCTTTATATCTATTTACCACTTTGATAAGTAAACGTTATTTTTTCAGTTGTGTCGTCCGCGCGTCTTACCTTCCGCCGAAAAATCCACCCGGCTGCATACTAGAAATTATATATACATCTGTTGTTGCGTGCCTCTTTAATTGTTGACCTACTTTAATTCAGATCGATTTATGATTGTAGATAGAAAGGAAGACTACGAGTAACATGAGGATTACCATGTTTAATGTCGTCTGCTCAAGAGCAATTTATCGTCTGCTCTGACATCCGAGTCGACTGCTGCTTAATTAAAGGTAGGCGAAGTCATTCGATATGTGGATAGCTGGAGATCTTCATCCACTCTGGACATGTTAATATTTAATCTCCTTCTCCGCCTTTATTGATCTTATTGTCTGCGTTAGCAGCGGTACGACCTGAAGCCGGACTAAGTGGAACGGAGAGAGAGAGAGAGAGAGGGGGGGGGGGGGGGGGGGGGGGGGGGGGGGGGGGGGGGATAAGAGAGAGAAGATGGGAGAGAGAGGAAGGGATAGAGAGAGAGAGAGAGTATGGGAGGGAGGGAGAGAGAAGATGGGAGAGGGGGAGAGAGGATGAGAGAGGGGAGGGAGAGGATGAGAGAGAGGATGATGGAGAGAGAGGATGAGGGAGAGAGAGGATGAGGGAGAGGATGGGAGGGAGGGAGAGAGAGGATGAGAGAGAGAGAGAGGATGAGAGAGAGAGAGGATGAGGGAGAGAGAGGATGAGGGAGAGGATGGGAGGGAGAGAGGATGAGAGAGAGAGAGGATGAGGGAGAGAGAGGATGAGAGAGGATGAGGGAGAGGGAGGGAGGGAGAGAGAGGATGAGAGAGAGGATGAGGGAGAGGGAGGGAGGGACAGAGAGGATGGGAGGGAGAGAAAGGATGGGGAGTGAGAGAGAGGATGGGAGGGAGGGAGGGAGGATGAGGGAGAGGGAGGGAGGGAGAGAGAGGATGGGAGAGAGAGAGAGAGTGGATGAGAGAGAGTAGAATTGGAGGGGGGAGGGGGTGCTAGTGATGAGGGAGAAGAACGAGAAAACAAATAAGCGTGACCATCAAAGCCACATTCTAACGCAAAAATCCCCCGAAAACACCAAAACAACCCTGTCTAGGTATGATGTCAGGCTACTGTTCTGTGTCAAACTCGTCTTTTGTCTCACATTGAACTGAGGTGCCGTGCATTTAACAGAACAGCTCAACGGCGTTACACCAAACCCTCACACCTGTCGTCAGCATGAAATATGAATAACGACATAAAACACACAACGCCGCACGTAAAACACTTCATGCCTTGTTTATGGTGGTTCATACAGTAAACTACGGTTATAACGAACACGCTTATAACGAACTGACGGATATAACGAACTAACTTTTTAATCCCGACTATTTCCTGTAGTTATGCTGCATATATGCTTATAACGAACTACGGTTATAACGAACTAAAAATAGTAGTCCCTTTGAGTTCGTTATATCCGTAGTTTACTGTATATAGTTTTACATAATAACGATATCGAATAAAATTGTATGACAGTATGGATATTGCTTAATATTCAATATAAATGCACTTCCATATACATGTATGTACACGTAACATTCTTATCATGTATATTAATGTTCTTTTTACGTTTACATATGTTCCAAAGTGAAGGGTGGCTGATAGTACATTGGAATAGCCATGAATAAGACGGTGCATCCACCTCGCGCGACACGAAGTGCATACTTTTCG